AATTAAGCACTATCTAAAGATTTGCATCGGAGCGTTTATTTTTGATAGTGATTTTAATAACTGTCAGATATCATTATACTTGATCCAACTATACCACGTCACAACTGTGCCGCGACCCCCTGTGCTGGGTTTTTTATTAGCTTCGATGCAAAGCTGAGAAGGTATTGGTTTTACTATGATGTGTTTTTTTTGTGTCTGTTACCACTTTTTTCAGCTCTCACCAAACCGATGTCTTTCAATGATACGTCAAAAGATCACAAATCGTATCTAGTCGAAGACATTACCCTCAATAATTGAAAAAAATTCCCTCGTTCCCCGTAAATGGGGGAAACCTCCAAAAAAATTACAAATTTATAAATCGCTTATTTTCAAAATTTTTTCAATTTTTTTTACTTAAAACGCTATAACTTTTTTAAAAATAACCAAATCAATATAACTTTTTTTTATATAGATGCATGATATCATTATCTTTTATTTGATGTATTTTTTTTTTATATCTGACCCTTTACCTGTCCATAGGGAGGATTTAAAATGAGAACTTTTTCACAAAAAATTAATTTTTTCAACTTGACTTTTGAAAATGTTCCGAAAAATCTGACACTTTTATATATGTATTAAATTAAAGCTAATGTAATGTACTTTATTATGAAAAAAAAAATTTCGGACTTTATTTTATCTTCACAATGAAAATGGCTACCAAATACTATTTTTGTGTATAAATTTTTTTTTTTTTTTTATTATAAATTTTTACTTTAAATGACAAAAAAAAGTAGGTTAAAAATTATTACTTTTAACATATTAAAAATCAATAATAACTTGAAAACAATTAATTATAAAAATATATAATATATAAGTAAAAAAAAATTACTAATCTGGATATAATTAAGGAAGTAGAAGTTGTTGTTGCTTTTGTATTTATCCACCAATTTTTTAGAATTAAACACTATATACAGATTTGCATCGAAGCATTTCTTATGATAGTGATTTTAATCACTGCCAGATTAAATCTATACTGGACCCAACTATGCCACGTCCCTACTGTGGCACGACCTCACTGTGCTGGATTTTTTTTATATTTATCTGTTCATTACCATCAGTCATACTCAATGACTAACTGAAAAAATCATCTATTGTTTTTTTTTTTTATAAACTTTCACAAAAATCAACCATAAAGGATTAACAAAATAGGTTAAATATGTCATGTTTCATATTATTAACATATTAATAATTAAAATCAGTATCAATTTAAAACTATTTTTTTTATGTCAATACTTAATTTTTTATAATAAGTAATTCTATCAAAACTTAGAAGTGATAGAAAAGGTCTAATTAGAGATTTAAAAAAAGCGCGAAAAGTTGAAAATGTAAAGTATATTTTTGTTTATTATAATTTCTTTGCAGAATAATAGTAATTAGTATAAACCAATAGTACTTAGTATTAAGGGTGTAATAAATTAGTAGTAATATGTATTTAGGGAGCAGAATAATAATAATTGGTAAAAAAGGGAGAGAAAATAGGAATAATTAGTAATTAAGGTTGTGAGATGCAGTAATTTAAGGGTAATAATTAGTAATTCAGGATGTGATATAGAGTAATTAAGAGAGAGAAAAATAGTATCTAAGGGTAATTAATAATTAAGGATGAATAATAAAGAGGAATTAGGGGTTATACTAAAAGTTAGGGGGAATCGGTAATTAAGGAGGTACATTAAAAGAGTAGTTAGAGGAGTTATTAATTAAGGGGGAATTCTAAAAGAGTAGTTAGGGGGAATATGTAATTAAGGGGGAATTCTAAAAGAGTAGTTAGGGGGAGTTGGTAATTAAGGGTGTATTTTTATTAATTTGTAGATTCTGTAATTTTTAATTAAAAAATATATAGTGTTCTATGACTATATTTTTTTGTATCTGTGAACGCTCAATCTCAGCTCTCGCTGGACCGATTTTGATGAACATAACATCAAAAGATCACAAATCGCATCTAGTAAGACATTACCTTCAAAAATTGAAAACATTTCTCTCGTACCCTGTAAATGGGGGAAATCCTCCAAAAAATTACAAATGTAAAAATCGCTAATTTTTGACATTTTAAAATTTTTTTTTTACTTAAATTTCTAAAAATGGCCGAATCTATATAAATTTTTTTATAGATGCATGATGTCTTTAACTTTCATTTGGTATATTTTTTTTATAAATCTGACCCTTTACTTGCCTACAAGGGGGATTCAAAATGACAACTTTTTCACAAAAAATTAACTTTTTCAACTTAACTTTTGAAAGTGTTTCGAAAAGTCTGACACTTTTAGCTTCGATGCGAAGCTGAGAAGGTATTAATTTTACTATGATGTTTTTGTTTTTTTGTATCTGTGAACGCTCAATCTCAGCTCTCGCTGGACCGATTTTGATGAACAATATGTCAAAAGATCACAAATCGTATCTAGTCGAAGACATTACCCTCAAAAATTGAAAAAAATTCCCTCGTTCCTCGCAAACGGGGGAAATCCCCCAAAAAATTAGAAATTTATAAATCGCTTATTTTCAAAATTTTTTCAATTTTTTTTACTTAAAACTGCTATAACTTTTTTAAAAATAACCAAATCAATATAACTTTTTTTTATATAGATGCATGATATCATTATCTTTTATTTGATGTATTTTTTTTGTAAATTTGACCCTTTATATGCCCACAGGGGGAATTTAAAAAGACAACTTTTTCACAAAAAATTAACTTTTTCAACTTAACTTTTGAAAATGTTCCGGAAAGACTGACACTTTTATATATACCTTAAATTAAAGCTAATGTAATATCGTTTGATTTTTATCTCATTTAGATTCAATAACTTCAATAAAGATCAAGGATTCCATAAATTTTGGCGCCCCTCGTAAGAAGAAATTTCTTATTCGTATTAAAATTATTTTACTATATTTTAAGTTTTAGCTTCGATGCAAAACTGAGAAGATATTTTTTTGTGACTATCATTTATTTTCTCTGCTCTAACTTGACCTACTTTTTTCAACAATACGTCAAATGACTACAATTCGTATTTAGTTGAAGATATTACCCTCAAAAATTGAAAAAAAAATTCTAATTTATCAATTAAACAGATAGTTAATACATTTTCTCCATAAAGACAATTAAAATCAATAATTTCTAATGTTTTCAAAATATTTCTTAACGAATGAAGTTTGATATAATAGGTTTCAACTACAAAATTAAATCATTTTACTTTGTATTTTAATAAATTTTTTACTGTATTTGTGTGTGCTACTATTAGACTATAATATTACAAATTTTTTTGTAACATGTTGCTATATAAATCATTTCTAAAAAAATGATTGTTTTTTCTCCTAAATTAACAATTTATTTTTACAAATATAATCAAATTTTATAATACGCTCATTTGAGTAAATCTTTTTAACAACTTTGTTTTGATTGGTTCATTTAGTTAAAGTAAATCATTAAAATTAATTAAGTTCTCAATATTTCAATTGTAGAATCTTTTCAAACAACAAAAGTTACTAGGAAATTATTACTACTACTTCTATTTAAGTTATCTATTACCATAAAAATGCAAAAAAATATTGAGCTTTTCTGATAAATTTACAATAAATAGTAATTATAAAACTTTCTGACTGCATATTGATCTTAACGATACAATTTTTTTAATTGTCATAAAATTTTCTATTTAATGATGTCAATGTCAAACTTGCCAATTGAGCTAAAAGTTATGGTAAAATAAATTATTTTTTTTTATTATAAACATTTACAACAATCAACTTTAAACGATTAAAAAAATAGGCTAAATATGTCATTTTCTTTATTTTTAACATATTAATAATCAAAATCAGTATTAATTTAAAACAGTTTTTTTTGATCTTAATTATTTATTTTTATATGTAAATATTATTTTTTAATAATATTAAAACTTAAAAGTGATAGAAATAGTCTAATTGCACATTTGAAATCATCGCGAAATGTTGATTTAGAATATTAAATTTTTGTTTCTGATGAAAGTTCCTTGTAGTACAGTGTATAAAACTTATAACTTTGTTAACTGTTAAACTTTATCAAAAATGACCAAATCAGTATAATTTTTTTTTTAGATGCATGTCTTTATCTATTTAAATTTAAAAATTATAATTAGTATTTATTCATATATTATATTTTAAAATCAAAGAACTACTAATCAGGATATAATTAAAAAAATAAGAGTTGTTGTTGCTTTTAGAATAATCCACCAATTTCTCTAAATGAAACACTATCTACAGATTTGCATCGAAGCGTTTCTTATGATAGTGATTTTAATCACTATCAGATTAAATCTATACTTGTCCCATCTATGCCTTGTCCACACTGTGCCTCGACCCCACTGTGCTACCGTTTTTATATATATGTTAAATTAAAAATAATGTAATGTACTTTATTATGAAAAAAAAAAATTTCGGTTTTTATTTTGTCTTTACTGTGAAAATGGCTACCGAATTCTATTATTGTGTGAAAATTCTCGATTTTATTTTTTATATTTTTAACTTTATAATGCTATAACTTATTGAAAAGTGTATAGATCAACATAATTTTTTTATGAGAAATAATATTTTTTAATAATCCCTTTTTCATTCGATATACTTTATCTTAATCAGGATATTAATAAAGAACTAGCAGATTATGTAGCTTTTGGAATAATCCACGAACTTTTAAAATTAAACACTATCTAAAGATTTGCATCGAAGTGTTTTATTTTTTTTATAGTGATTTTAATCACTGTCAGATATCATTATACTTGATCCAACTATGTCACGTCACCACTGTGCCGCGACCCCCCTGTGCTGGGTTTTTTATAATACTGTACTAATTAGTATACTTTATACGAAAACAATTTGTTTTTAACCAACCAATGGTAAAATTTTGAACTTGTAAGATTCATAGAATGGGATACTGTCTAAGGAGGAGTGGAGGGAGCCCCCTACAAGCTTTTCATGGGAAACAAATTATGGAAAATGATACAAGGGCCCAAAATTGTTGGCCCCTCCAATAAATATTTTCTGGCTACGTGCCTGGTTCCTTCATCTTTACAATGAACTCGTCTTTTATCTTAGACGGTCGATTTTTGTGCTTTCCACGTCCATCTTTAGGTGATATACCAGATAACAAAATACTTGTTAATCTTTGCACTTGAATATGTGACATAGCATGCAAGCTCATAAAAGCCTGTTTGCAAACAGATATGCGTAATTCGTTTTTGTTGACAAAGTAAGCAAAATTACTCGCCCTTAGTTTTGCATTTGCTCCACCAATCTCAGACCTTTGGCGGCGTCTAATCACAGGTTTTGTTTCGATCAGCCCTAGTAAAAAAGTATCAAATTCATTTTTCGGTTTTCCATCATATAAATTATGAATTATTTTTTTTTTCGTCATTGGAAAACGTATTCATACACTTGCGTCTGCAAACGCAATTAGGACCAGTAATTTTAGAAGTAACTAGATTACCTGATACTGAAGTATAAGAAGTTCCATTTTGACGAACGATCTTAATTTTTTGACGTTTCCATGTTTGAGGATAAACTTTGCGTTTCTTTCCTATCTTTAGTGTTTCATTTTCTTCACCTGACGTAGTGTCAGAGTCAGTCATTTTTATTTCACAAAAACGTTTAAACAAAAAAACAAAACAAAATATGTACTCATAAAAAAATATTATTAATATTGCAAAAATTTAATAATGTAAGCACACATTCACACCACAACAATAACGATAACCATAGAGATAAATAAATGATAATTAAAACACTGTTTTTCCACTCATCAAAATAATAAATATACCTGTGGCAAGTGAAAAAAGGTTGTACTATTTTTACACTCAATACTTAGATCTAAATTAGATGAGTTTATTCGTAAAAAAATACGAAATATCGAATTTTGGACTAATACTGTACTTCCACTCACCGATTCAATTATATATATATTTAAATTCCTAGATAAAATACATTTTAATGTTTTTAAGAATTATAACAACTTAAAAATAGTGCTCCATAATAAATGTATGGCTGCGGCTGCGGTAAAACAATTTGTGACGTAACGCGCCTATTTAATATTTACCGTAAAACAACAACGGGAAGTATGAACAACAAAATTTCGCCACTTAAATTTTTGTTATTTTTTAAATTAATAAAAACAAAGTTGATTCTTAGTTAGGTATTCTATAAAAATATTTATATTAAATTACTACATTAACGCTATCTAGTATTTGCTTTAGGTCTTAAAATTTCTAATAAAAAGACATTTAAGCAGTAGGTTACTCTGTTTCCATACAAGTATCATCTTTATTCTCTTTTAATTTAAAAACATAGATAAAGGAAAGTTTATATAAAGAAAAAAATGTCGAATAATTACAAAGTAACAAAATATCTCAAATTTGCTAAATAATTCTATTCGTCTTAAATAAATAATTATACAAATTGTTATTTGATAATATATTAAATAAACATTTGATGTTTACATACATATAATATTTTTCTTTAAGAAAATATTAGTTCTCTTTCTTCCATGACAATATGTATTCATTTAATAATTTTGATACTACAAGAGTTCACTAATTTGACTTGTGGTATAAGTCATTGATAGATTTCTAAGCATCAATATGTATTTATTACCTTAGACATAAAATTCCAATTGTGGCTCTTAATATTTGAGTTTTAACGTAGAAAAAGTGTCAGTTATAATATTTTATTATTGCTAATTATTAACAATTCCTTGTATGATAAAATTATTTTACAATTTAAATTGTTAGAATATTGTGATTAAGTGATAAAAGTTTTATACGCAGTAGATCTTTTGATTAAACATTAGATTTTTATTCAGAATTTATTATAATATTATAAGATATCATATGTTAAGTGATGAAGTAATTTTTTTGGATGTTGTTTGAACAAGGATTATATTGAATTGATGTGTTTAGTGTTTTATAAAGAGGTAACATAATATATTATTTTATTCCTTTTAAGAACAATTTAGTTTTACTTTGAAAATACAATTATTTTCAGTATTAAGAATTAAAAACACTACTTAATGTAACTTCATGTTCACTATATTTAATGAGTCTTTATTTTTAATAAGTGAATGAATAATTCTCTCTAGTTTAATATTGAGATATTCAATTATAGGTGGTAGACATTATATAGACACTTTCATTTCAGTCTTTTTTTTTTTTTTGCTTACATACATTTTGTTTATCCTATTTTAATTTTGTTTTGATTTCAACTTTTTTCATTCAATTTACTTAAGGAGATCTGCATTATTTTTAAAGAAACAATATCTTTTCAATTAAAGATAGAATTTAATGGATTAAAACTTTGTTCATATTTTATACATGTAACATATAATTAAATATAGTATTCTTATGCATTTTCAAAAAATTGCATTACAATTATACTATGGCTACTAATTATCTAATTAATATATTATAAGATACATCGTTTACGATGGTTCATATTATTGTTACATTGAAAAATATTTTAAACAATTCTCTTAACGTTTGTGAAAGATTTAAGATAAGTCAAAAGTCATAACCCTAAATTCACAATTATAGACCTCCTATAAAAAAATTACTTTTTAAAATTAGAAATTAAATCTGGTTGGGCTGGGTTTACCGTCCTTTTAAAAATATTTATTTGTAAAAAATTCATGTCGAATTGGCAATTCTAGAATATATTTTTTTATTGAACTTGTAAAATAATTTTTATCTAACAAAAGATATGTCTCTTTGTTTTTCAAAGTCTGTAATGATTTAAAGACTTCCTAAACCATTTTAAATATGTTCTTTTATAAATTACAGTAAAAAGAAAAAATGTGTGATCAAACAATGCCTTATACACCCGGTACTTTGGTATGGGTAGCACTAATTCGTAATTATTGGTGGCCAGGAATAGTTATTGATCCAGAAAAAATACCAGATGAGTTGAAGTCAGAAATTGAAAAACCCAAAAAGAAACCAATTTGCACTGTATTTTTTGAAAAAGAAAGATCTTAGTAAGTTTCAATCTTTAATAAGTTAAAATTAAATATTAAATTATATAAAATTGTTTTATGAAATAAAATTTATTACTGTTTCTATTAGTCATGTTGTCTATGATATGAAAAAAATCTATCTTTATGATTGTGCAAAAAAAATGGAATTTATAAACTATGGATACAGTAAGTAAATTACTCAATGAAAGTAGATATTTTCAAATATGTAAAGTAACTAAAATAAAATGTTGTAAAACAATTAACAATATATATATTTATATATATGTATTGTATTGCACTTCTTTATTTATACAATAAAAAATTTAATTTTGGCTTTTATATTATTAAATTAAATTTGTGAATATAAAAACATCATAAATGAGTTTTTTAAATTCTGCAAGTTAAATTTTTTTCCAATTACCATAATAACAAAAAACCCATGTAAACTAAAAATATCATATCCCTTTCTTTATATTGAGATTCTAATCTAATTAAAATTATGCCATTTTTTTTATTTAACTAATTAATTTAAATTGTAAACTAATCAAACATAATTATTATTATATCATTTTCAGCCTGTTATAAAAAACAAAATGAAAAAAATATTGCAGGACCAATTAAAATGGATAACTTTTTGGATGATGTAATTTCTGCTGAGAAATCCATTGGTGGTAACTTGAAAATTTTTAAGCAAGTTGAAGATCAACTAGCTAAACAAGAAAAATTGAATGTAAAAAATTTATTTTCTTCAAACAAAAAAGAAACAAGGAGATCATTGCCAGTACCTGTAGTTTCTCAAATTAAAAAAAAATTATCTACACCAAGGTCTCGACCTGTTGTTCCTAGTTCTACTATTCCAGGTGTATATTTTTGTCATTTAAAAATGGGATGTACATTTTCATCCACACGATTTGAAAATCTTAAACGTCATATGGCTATGCATAAAACAGAAAATAATTTAAGTTCATCAGTTACACCTATGAAAGATAACTCTACCTCTATCACTTCAAAATCTAGTACAAAAATTATTTTTTCTTCTCCTAAAAAACGTAAATTAGTTAAAACTAAGAAACCCGAATGCAAAAAAATGAAGATACATAATGAAATCCTTAAAGACTGGGATGATGATGATGAAGACAATGAACTATATTTAAGTAATGAAGAAAAAAAAAATTATTGTAATGATACTGAAAGTAATGGTGATATTTTTGAAAAAGTTAAACAATTAACTCCACAAAAAAATGATGAAGATGAAATTCCTGAATCGAATATTTCTAAAACAGTTTTAGGATCCCCAAATGTATCAAAAGTATATTCTGAAAAAAAATTAGAAAATTATGAAAAATCCTTCTTGTCAAAAGGTGACTCGTCTGATATTGAAAAAGAAATGTTTGATGACATTAATAATACCAAATTATTATTAGAAAAAACTGAAAATACTTTAAATTATATAAACAACTTGGAAAGCTCTATAGGTGGAAAATTAGACAAAACAAATTCATCTGATCCTGTTAATGCAATGGTAAGTAAACTAAGCTAGATAATTTCATATTATATTACTTTAAATTTAATTTTAGGAAGAAATAGAGAATAAAGACTTAGCTGTTGGAGTTAAAAATCGTTTGAACAATGTTGAAACTAACCAGACAAAAGTCAACACTTCTAATGATACTATTATTGTTAAATCCCCTACACCTGATTGGGTGATAGAAGAAAAGTGGAATATTAAATCTGACACTGGTTTTAATGAAGGTAATCGTAAAATTTAATATAGTTAGGAAAATAAATTATTTTATTCATTATAAAAGGTTATAATACTAGTTGTTGTAATCTCTTTATTATATAAGTTATTAATATTATTTTTTTATATTTAAGTATAGAAATATTTTTTAATTTTATTTAAAAATGTTTTATATTATATTAAAGTTTTTTTGAAAAATATTATACAAATTAAAGGAGACCTATATAACTCAGTTAGGAATGCAGGATCTTGGTATATAGATACTGAGGTTAGATTTTCCAGTTGTCTCTATCTCAACAATATATATATAACTTGTTCCATTTAATTTAAGTATTATCATTGGAACCCAATCATTTTTTTCCTTTGTTACTCATTATAATCAATATTATTATTATTAAACTTAACGTATGATGAATTGTGTATTCAACCACAAATTAAATTATTACAGAATAATTAAGAACAAATACAATATATTTTGTATTCTAACATATAATTTTAAGATAACTGCTTGTGTTAAGTGTACTAAAGATTATCCTGTTTATATAAGAACATTATTACTATTTGAGTTAATTAAAAATATCTATTAAACAATTTAATACAAGTCTAAAAAATTTTATAAAATTGTAAAAGTTTACTTTTTAAATGTACTCATTAATGGTGAATTTTTTTATTTTATATTAAACTAATTTTTTTATAATACTTAGCTAATTCATTATATGATGAGAAGCGGTCTACTAGTCATGGTACTCTACCTGAATTTTTGAAGGGATCTTCCCAGCTAGTTGATTCAGATGAATATTCAAGTGATTTGGTCGGCGAAATATCGACAAGTATAAAAAGTACAAAGACTGGGGGACTTAAGGAAAATGCTTAAATAGCATTATGGAATATTCTTTTATAGTTAATTTTATATATAAAGTTATTTTTATAATTACTTATTTAGACTATTCAGAAATTTGACTCAAATACTTAAAATGGATAAGTTATTGAATTAAAAATTTTTATTGTTACTCAAAAATAATATTTCTTTTTTATTTATAACTAAATAATAGATATGAATATTATTGATGAACTATGGGTAAATAATACCCATAGTTAATAGTTTAAATATCATTTATTTTATTTTTTTAATTACTCAGACACATTCAGATTAGTTATCTTATTTATAAATGTTACAATTTTGGATTGATATTAATTAATTTCTTATACTATATTTTATAAAATTATCTATTTTCTTTATTAATAGTCATTATAACTTAATTACAACATAGGATATTATTTTATTAGTAAATTTCATTAATCACATTCAGGAAATAGAAGATCCTTTAAAAAAAAATGTATGGTTTTTCTTTTTCAGGGACTATTTTGTGTTACTTTATTTTACTTTTTTTGTTACTTCTTATTCTAATTTAATATAGGACAGCAAATATTATTAATCTAGTGAATTTGAAAATATTATTTTATTACTGTCAATGATTAATTTAAAATTAAAATTTTATTATTTTTAATCATTGTTTGGAAAACTTTCAGCTCTTTAATTTAATGTTACCATTAAATTCTTAATTACGCTGTATTTCATGGCATAACACTTAAACAATTACAGTTTTTTTTACAATGAATTTTATGGCTTTTATTGCAAAACTTCATTCATGTCAGAACAATTAGTTTAGAAATCTGAAACTTTATTGACTTAAATGTAATTTTATTTTATTTAAAGAACTCAATATTTATATAAATATATAATTGTGAATTGATAATACCAAATACATGTTTGGAAATCAATATTTAATAAATGTCAGTAAGAAAATAGTAATTCAATTTTTTTACTAAGTATAAAAAAATTATTTTATTAAATTTTTGGTGGAATTTATTTAGTTAACAAATGATAATTTTTATAAATTGTATAGCCTTTGCTACTTTTAATGAACAATTAAAAAATAAAACTTATAAGTATTATTTTTCTTGTTTAATTGTAAATAAATAATTAACTTACAACTTATTTAAACATTATATAAATATAAATAATATATATATTTAATAATATAAAAAAAAACTATAACTAACAAAAATTTTCATATTGTTACTTAATGACTTGTATTAAATTGTGTATATAATTTATGAACTATTGTAATAATGATTATTAGTGGTTGCAAAAATAGTTAAATTAGTTTATAAAATATAGTCACGGTAGTAAAATTAATAAAAATATTAACTACTTAATTTTTTTATCTGGTTTATGGTAAATGTAAGTCACACTTACCATACATAGATAAAATAGCATACAAAATAGAATTCCATTTTTAAATAATTTGAGAAATTTCTCAACACAACTACTCAGTATTTAACTCTATATTTTTATGTTGTTTATTATGTTTAAATATTGTTTCAAAGATTACATTTTATAGATAAAAAAATCATGTTCTAAAAATTAAATGTTTGTAAAACTCATTAAAATATCTTTAACTAAATAAAGACTTATCACTGAATATGAAATTAAATGTTTATAACAGGAACATTGTTAAATATAATACTATTTAACTAAATATCTACAATTTAGATTGAATCAAAAATAATAATGTGTCCAACATCAATTAATTAAAAAAAAACTAATTCACAATTTTTATTTATTGAGTATTTCCAAAAAAACTACTTAATTAACATCTAAATAATTAGAAATTAATATCTAAAATTCTCTTTATGTAATAGAAAATTCATAAATAAATCATATATTTTGCATTTTTTGTAATTTTTCGATTTTCAGAGCATTTTATTCATTTTTTAGGTTAATTATCACAATTTAAAATATTATTGGGCAAAAATTGTATTCTTATTAAATTCGGTTAATTAAATGTGTGTTCTACAAAGAAATAAACATTTTTTTATATGTATTACTTTTTATAAGAGGGATTTCCCTCCACCCAAAAATGATGAAGATTACCTTTTATTTTATAAAAATAATTTTAAAGAATAGAAATTACAACTATTATTCCAAATGTGCCTATCAAAATATTGTATTTTTAAAATATTTTTTAACTAGGTATTAGTAATGTTTTTAATATAAAATAAAAGCAATGTATATAAAAAAATTTAAATAATTTGTTTATTTTCGGGATTTATGAATATTTTACAATATATTTTTTAATTTTTTTGAAACATTTTTATACTTATAAGATATTTTTATAGGGTAATCTAAGAACTTTTCTCAATGTTTTTTAGAGTATTTATCTGTACCCTAGTTATATCTATGCTTTAAAAATAATAATTTTAAAAGAATAAAAATAATATTTCCTATTCAAAAGTTATTATATTATATGTTCTATAATTTTTAAAAGAAATTTACTTTAAACCCTTTGAAAATATTAATAAAAAAATTTAATATAGTATTAACTGAAGTTTTTTAAATGAACAATCGTACATGTTAGAAAATCTAAAACAATAACTTTTGAAAATATTACCTTTTTAACATAAAAAATAGAGTTGAAGTGTGAGTTTATTTCTTTTTATATCATTAATTTTTAGATCTTACTATTCCTTTTTTTTTTTTTTGGTATAATTTTTAATATAATGTTTAAAATATTGTGTTTAACCAGTAGTTTTTTAAATTGATAATATTTTTTTTAATTTATTCTTTTTTAGTCATATTAATCACTCTTGTAGCATAGGTAGAGTATTATAAATATTCACTGGTACGAACTGTACCCATTAGTGTTACATACTCGCTTTACATATTATAATGGTTATAACTCAATAAGTACTTAACCTTAAGTTGTTATTGACCCATCAAAATTTTTTGTAGAAAAACAAAAAAAAAATTTTGGAAATGTTGAAAAAATGTTAAAAAGTAATTTTTTTATTATTTCAATTAAATAACAAATAATATGCTTTTAATGTGGTCTAATAATACAGTATAAATTGTTTAAAATATAAAACAGTGAAATCTTAATTATATCAAAAGTTATAAGTGTTATCAGTTAGATCTGTTTTAATTTATAAAATATTTTATTAGGTAACATGTTTTCTGAGATATGCATATCTTCTAATGCTCAATTTCTTTTTAAAGTATTTTTAAAGAGAACTATTGTAGTACTGTGTTCATTTTTTAAATAACTATAAAGAATTACACTTTTATTTTCTAAGAGATTTTGTATGTCAGAAAAACTGATATATGAAAAAAATTAATATCTAACAGTTGTTTTTCTTTTATTAAAAATAGGTTAACTAATTTCTTTTCATTATATGACTATTTAATGAAAAATGTATAATAGTTGAAATTTTTAAACTATTAATAAAAAATAAACATTGTTAAATTATGATAGAAAAATTTTAGATTTGTGTTTTAACAAACAGCATATATAATAAAAATATGATGAACCGGAATTCTTTTATAACTTATTATTAATAAATTGTATTTTTTTTAATGTATACAAAAAATACTAAATAAAATCATAGTGTTACATAATTTTTAAAACTTTTATAATATTGTTTAATTAATTAAATATCATTAATCAATTAAATATTTTTATTTTGCAGTGGAATCTTTTTTAACTTTACCCACTCTTGAAAGTCATCTGCAGAAAATGAAGCTCACAGCAGTATTTACAGATCCAATTCAGGCTCCTATAGTGACTGCAGAAATACAGCCAGAAATACCTCCAAACACTATTAGGCGGACTATTCGTATGCCAGTTTATAATGAAGTAGAAATGTTTACAGATAAGGAATTATTAGAAAAACCTGAAATACAAAAGCTCCGAAACTATTTGAAGCAAGAACCTGGTACAAAACTATTTGTAGATATAGAACCTAGAACACCCAATGAACCTAAACAATTTTCTGTTGAGAAAAACAAATGATTTTCCTAATGTTTAACTTTATAAATTTAAAAAGTTATAACATATTAATTTTTAATTAGTTATCATTTATCCTATATTGGTTAAGGTATTCTTGCTATTGTTTTGTTTTTTGTATTTTTCAAAAATCAAGTGTATCTCATAATGATAAACATAACTATTTTCTTACTTAATTTTTAGTTCATTTTAGACCAACCATTTTATATTATTATTATTATTAATGGTATATTATTTAGAATTTTTTTATTATTATTTTAAATAATGAATATTGTTTGTATCCATTAGTTCATTTTTTATAAAGTTAACAATTTTATAATCATTGTTTGTACCTTTCATTTTTTTTTCTGGATAGTTTGTATAATTTTAATTGAAAGTAATACAACTCACTAAAAATATTTATGACTATAAACATGTAAATAAAACATTAAAAATTTACTCTTTTATCTAATGTTTTGTGTAAATTTAAAGTTAATTTGATGTTTACCTTCTATAATTTTCTCTGGAAAATTTCTATTATTCTTAATTTTTAATTTAAACCAAGTAATATGAAATGTTTATTAAAATTTTGATTTAACTAATATTACTACTCATATTACATTTTAATTTCAATTTAATACTATGTTTAAAAATATAATACTATATTATAAATATAGATTCTAATATAATTAATATAATATTTAATCAATACTCGGTTGCAATGATACTTTTTAAATTAAATTTTTTTTTTATCAGAAATATACAATCTGTACAATGAGCACAATAAGCAAATATGATAAAAGTAGAAAAATGTACATGAATACATTTTGATGGAAGAAACCACTTCCCACTTAGTGACTTCCCGTTTTTTTTTTTTATTTTTTTTTTTCTAAAATTTTTATTTTATATTTCCAATAACTTAATTATATTAGTATAAATTTATATTATTAGAAAGAAGATCATGGCACCACTTACGTTTTAAACGTCTGGGTGGGTCTTCAGGTATGGACAAGGTTGAGAGGTTTTTTATTAGGGGATTAGAGTAGGAGAGTAATTTACTGTGGAATTTTTTGTAGTAGGAGATGGCTTCTTCATGGACTGTTTTTAAGTTAAGGTCGTTATGGAGTGTATAATTAGAGATATAAGGAGGTACATTGATTAGTTTTCTTAAGACAATATTCTGAAAGCATTGAATTTTATTGGTATTGGATTTTTTAGCATTGGCCCATAACTGAAGGCCGTAAGTCCATATGGGTTTTAAAAGGGATTTATAAATTTAAAGTTTAACATTAATGTTTGTAAAAAAAATTACAAATTTAAAAATCGCTAAATTTAAAAATATTTTCAATTTTAGCTTCGATGCGAAGCTGAGAGGTATTGGTTTTACTATGATGTGTTTTTTTTTTTTGTGTCTGTTACCACTTTCTCAGCTCTCACCGAACGGATTTCTTTCAACGATACGTCAAAAGATCACAAATTGTATCTAGTCGAAGACATTACCATTCAAAATTGAAAAAATTTCACTCATTCCCCGTAAATGGGGGAAACCTCCAAAAAAATTACAAATTTAAAAATCGCTAATTTTCGAAATTTTTTCAATTTTTTTTACTAAAAACTGCCGTAACTTTTTCAAAAATGAACATATTAATATAATTTTTTTTTTATAGATGCTTGATGTCTTTACCTATTATTTGGTATATTTAATTTGTAAATTTGACCTTTTTTCTGCCCACAGGGGGGGATTTAAAATGGTGACTGTTCCACGAAAAATTAACTTTTTCAACTTAACTTTTGAAAATGTTCCGGAAGGTCTGACACTTTTATATATATCTTAAATTAAAGCTAATGTAATATACTTTAATTTGAAAAAAAAAAATTTGACCTCTGGACTTGTCTTCATGGTGAAAA